TCGGGCGGGGACGTTGCGGCGGCAGCAGGGGCGACGGCCGACTCGGCAACAGCATCGGGGGTAGGAGGGGCGGCGGCAGCGGCGGCGGCAGCAGCGAGTTCTGCGGGAATCTCGGACGAGGATCTCAAAACGGTAAGTGCAGCAGCCCCCATTTTTGGTGGCCTCTCTCGAATCCGTTTTTTTTTTTTCTAGCACAACGATTCCATCTCCATCCACAGATATAGAGCCCAGGACAAATAAGCATTAAATCCATAGCGCAACGTGCTGTTACTCGCTAGTTTTGAAACAGTGGCGAGGTATTGGTGCCGTTTTTGACGGTCTCAGAAGAAAAGACTATTTCGCCCCATGAAACGACCGAGCGTCCAAATACCCTTCTGGCGCCCGCGACATCACCAGCCACGTTGTTTAGCCATGAAGCGCCGCACGAAATCGTCGACCTCCAACTCCTGCACTGTCAACACCACCCTTACCCCCCGCCCCCCCCCGTCTCATCACAAGAAGGAGAGAGAAGTGTACATGACTGAGCATGGGAAAAGTAGAAGGGAGATGCAGGGAGATGTTTGAGGCATGGAATAGCCAGGAGAACACGGTAGCTGTACTGGGGGCACAGGCGGGAAGTATTGATATCGATAGGATAGATAGAGGAAGACATGTATTAGCTACCTTTGGCAAAGTAGGAAGGAACGATTGCCCATCGGTGATCGGTCCTGTGGGCACCATGTTCCGTCCATCTCGAGGACCCGTGGTCAATGATCTGACCGCTAGGCATGCAAAACATAACAGTACGCCCCCCCCCCCCTCCCCCCTTTCCCCCCCGCCATCCCAACCACGATGACCCCCCATGTCAGGTCGCCAGCGCGCTCGTGAAGAGACTAGGCACAGGAAAGCCGCTGCAGCCGGCCGCTTTCGACGAGTTCAGCGACGCGGTGGACCGTGTTTTGGAGTCGACGGCCGGTGCCCCCTGACAGGCTCCGCCGCCACCACTGCCTCCCCCGATAACCAGCGTTTGGTTGCGCCAGAGAAGAACTGTGTTGATTCTCGGTTTTTAGGGGCTGCCTTATTTTTTATTTTTTCTACTGCAAGCACATTTTTTCATGGAACCTGTTGAGCTGCAGCTCAGGCGACACACCATCGCTTCCCCCAAGAGTCAGCGTCATCTATACAGCGAGCACGCATGCTGTATTCGTGGACGTACGTAGCCGTCCGTACCAGTTTTCCATGAGACTCGGACGCCTGCATAAACTCAGGCTCCAGACCTTCTTGTGAATTGGGTTATGGGCAGGGTCTCACTACCGTCATCGTTTTTTCGGGCGAGGAGCATGGCGAGGCGGCGTGTCGGCCTGGTTGCAGTGGCATGTGGCCACGTCGCTTGGCCCATACGGAACCCGCCCGGGCCCACAGGGCGGCGCGGAACCTTGCTCGCGTCTGCGGTAGTAAAAAGTGTTTGCTGCTTCCGAGACTGTGTTCCTCATGGCGCTCAGACTACAGTAGTGAGCATGCGTGGAAATCCTCTGCTTTAGAAAATGAAACGGGCAAGGAATATCCTCCAAGCACACCACCGTCGCAGCAGCAGCAGCAGCAGCGGCGGCAACAGCAGCAGCAGGAGTGGCGCGTTAGGGTTGACATGACGTGGTCGCTGTTTCCATTTTGGTGCAAAGCGGCTTGAGAGAGGGACCGTTGGTGAGCCACGTTTGTTGGTGGGGTTTATTCACCTCGAGCAGCAGCGAAGGCCATTGCTTATCTCACCAGGGTGGTGATGGTGGCTAAGCTACGGCACTGCGGTGTGGTTGTTCTACATCCACCGGCCTCCGTACAAGACGGTATTTCTTTCATCTTCTCGTAAAGACTTTCTTGCGTGTTGTGGTATCATTAAGCATACAGCTGCACGTACTTCAATTGTTTTCGCAGCCCGGACTGCAAATGATACGTACCATGATCTCCACAGAATTGCGTTGCGCGATTTGACAAAGCAAACAGGGGCCGGAAGACCCGCTTTTGTATCCTTGTAGATTTCAAGGGGCCATAAAAAACACAAAACCGTGGCGCTTGTACAACATTCGCCTGACCCATCGCGAAGTAATACCCTATCTATAATAGGCAAAATGCCACACCACCAACAATACGAAATCGGAAACTACAAAGGGTCAGAGAGAAACACAAATCACCCAATCGGGTTATCATGGCCATGATTTCAAGACGCAAGATCACGAGCCAAGACTTTCGAACGTTCTGCCATCCTTGGGCACCGGGAACTGCGCAATCAACCACCGACATAAGTCGAGGGGGAGAGATGGACGATGTCCCCGCTCCGAGCCTGAAAGATGGACAGAATATCGCCGGGGAGCCATATACAAATGCGCACGACACAAAACAACGTTAACAAATACGTTCGCTACGGCTTTGTGGAACAGAAAACCTCCTCACCAGCGAGCGTCCTACAATTTACAAGACTAGACTATTTTCTTCTACGAGGCAGAGTCAGAACCATCGCCACACGCGGTCATGTCCGTCCAGCACGGGGGGATCGGGAAAGGGACGAGAAGGAAAGAGAGCAAAAGGCTCTGTCTTCCGGGGGTCGTCGGAGATGTGCTCTCTGTACCCCCCCCCCCCCCTCCCCCCCTTT